AGTACATAAAATGGTTATGGAATTTGCCGCACCTTCACTTATAAAGCCGTAACTACATGTGGACGGATTATTTTTTTCTACATAGCAAATGATTGGAACTATACTGTAAGTAAGTCACGCATTTTCGTATATTTTGAGATAAAAAATAAAATGTATATTTCTCCATACAAAATATAATTTTTTTTTCTCCGTGACCATCAACTTTTCAAGAAATTATGCAAGATTAAAACTTGTTAGGAATATTATTATCTATCACATAAAAAAAATTAGCTCGAACTCCACAAGTTATTCCTATGTCCAAGAATTATCAATTTGGGCCCACTGTGCGCCGTCAGTTGTATACGACATAATATAAAACAAAGTTTTGTGTGAACAAACAGCTTCTCGCGCAAAGTGCCGCGAGCTATCTCTCGTCACTTCGCATGTTGCACGGATTGCTTCGCAACTTCGCGCCGTGGTTGACGTTTTGCGTAATTCGCACGGCACATTGCATAAAACACCACAAGAAGAGAAATAAATTCCCGTGTTATATTACACGTTGATTGAATCGGTATGCTCCTACACATTCACATGTTCATGTATATTTTATTAAATATCCTTGAAAATAAGTCAACTGGTTCAGACGTTCACGTCACCAAAACGCGACCTTCTAAGTTCAAAGTTTGGCCTCAGCGTGATAATTTGCTTAATCCGGCCAATCCCGCCGCGCGAGATTATTTGAGCGAGTTCTTTTGTTTCTCACTACCTCCGCGTTTTGTCGCTGCTGTTTTTGACGAAGATAACAGAGATTTATAGAGCAAATACCTACACAAAGACTACAAGAGAACGTAATTTCTTTCTACGAGCTCCTCAACTTTTCTGAGGGAAAGGCAAGTGAAGAATAAAAGGATACACATAATATTACGTAATAACTTATGTTTCATGAAATAAATATGCAAAAATCGTGAAATGTGATAATGGTTGAACAAGTCAACCATGAAAAGTGGAGACTAAAACCTTACAAACTTACAAATGGAAATAAAAATCAAAAATACCTACGCCTGGTTAAGACAAAATTAAATAAGAAATTACTTCACACAATAACCTTTACAAATGCAAACTTTTCATAAAATAAGTAATGTAGACTTTGAATTTCAATCATATTTCAATACATATATTGACTCGGTCGCGCCGTAACCAAGCCTTAGAAGCTTAGCTTCGGAAGAAATCAAAATAAATAAAAAGTGGGTAAGTAGGGAATGCTCCACAAATGTACGTGCGTATCAATAAAGTGAAAAAAAATACTTAAAAGAAAGAGAACGTTTATGCTTTTCATATATTTTGAAAAATAAAATTCTTTCACGGTCCACTGTGTATGAGTTTGCAATTGCTTTTACTTTATTATAGCTAAAGCTGGTTGGCTAACTTTGAAAAGTAGCAGTGGTGAGGCGTGAAAAATGTCGTTAGTAAAGCCCGAGCAAAACAAAAAACATCTACCACAAGAAAGTCACCTTTTCTTAGCCTTAGCGACACTTAAACACAACTTATTTACACACAGGAGCCAGTACACTTCATTTCACTGATTAGCTTATTCCACCTATAAAATTTAGCAAAAAATGTAGTGCCGGTGAAAATCGAGTTATATGGGCGCCTCGCCACTGAAAAGTAGGTAAACAAATTAAAAAACATGAAAATGTTTTGATTAAAAATACTTATACAAATTTTGTTGAACTTGGTACATAAAATGTTTCAAAACCTCTCTGACCGAGTCCAGCGCATCAATTACATTTTGTGAAATGAGTACGTCATTCTTTTCAGTGACACTGTAATCACACAATGCGAGTCGAGTGTTCGTTCCAATGAGCGCGACGGTGTTCGTTTGAATAGTTTTATTTGTTCAATCGTGTATCGTTTTAGTGTCAAGGAGCGACGGGCGCCGACGCTCTTTTAATTCGTCTCAGCTTCGCTGCAAACTAATTTTAAGCTATATTTCCCTTAGAAATCCACAGTTCGTTCGGAACTGGGGGTCTACTCTCGATCTCCGTCCGACATCCGTCCGTAACAATTACTGTCAAATAAGTAACATTCGATAAAATTAAAAGACAAGTATCAAGAATGAAGCTTCATTTGCATCACGCATTTTTTCATTTGGTCAAGTAGTGCTTATTTGGCAGTAATGGTTTCGGACGTATGTCGGACGGAGATCGAGAGTAGACCCCTGGTTTTAAAGTTCTTCATTAGAGCTTCAACTTGCTTACAGCTTTTTAATAAATATCTAAGGCAATTATGAGCCTCGAGCAATAAAACGAAATGAACTTATTTAAATGCAGTGCTATAAAGGGAATATTGAATAAGTCATAAAATTGTCACGAGTCATAATCTCATTTCAATAACAAGTTTATGGCTAGGAACGTTAGTAGTTTATTTTCACTGCTTAGGATTTTTTCCTTTCAGTGTCGGGTATTAGGACATGAACGTAAAATAAATTGAAGTTTGTTATAATTATTAAACAAAGATCGTTCACTTGGATCTGGTGGAATAAACAGTTGAATATCATATCATATCATATTTTGGAATGAGCACAAAGATACCCAATTAAAGTGAGAGTAAAGATGTACTTTCTCCCGTATGAATTCTCCTCTGTGGAGTTGTCTCTCGTCTATTACAAAACTATATACTTTATGTTGCAACCTGAAATTACCTCTAATATATTGAACAAAAGAAGAAATTGTGCTGTGGCCTCTGCCAAACATGGAAAAATTCGTGAGTTCCGTTGGTTCGTTCCGTGGCTTGGTTGGCATAGCGTCTGACACGGTTTGCTCGGACACGTTGGTTTGAATCCTACCGGATCGTAGTGATTTTTGTGTAAGTGTTCGGTCTTTGTTTTAATAATTATAACTAAGTAGTGGAGTAATATCACAAAAAATAAAAGATGATCAAACGAACTTCTCGAAGTGAAGTTCGATCACTATTATGTGAGTCGCTTCACTCGAAGATATAATATTTAACTAGATAGTTTCCGTAACTTGCTAGGCAACACTGCACGGGTTTTAGAGAAAAAAAAAGGTTTTGACGTTGACACTCCCTACCAGGCATCAACCGCCATTTTCTATCCTCATTCCTTTTACTGTGGGAAGCAAAACCTACTTGGGAGTTTCAGGGTCGTATTCCAAAACTCTACTCAATGCTCAAGTCATGATTTGAGTATGATTTAAAGCACTAGAAATCATACTCAAGTCCTTGCCATTAGGGTCGTATTTCCAGTGCTTGAAATCATACTCAAGTCTGCTCAAATCCTGACTTGAGCATTGAGTAGAGTTCTGAAATACGACCCCAGAATCTTTACTTCTGATATGACGATGTCAAGGGAGGGAGGGTGTTAACTCACATAATAGTGATCGAACTTCACTTCAAGAAGTTCGTTTGATCATCTATTATATTTCGTCGCTTCATTCTCGATATAATATTTAACCTTGTAGAGTTTTAGAGTGTTCAGTTTTGCTTCTAGTTGATTTTATGTAAATTATAATAATAATAACGCACACACTCAACATAGCCCCGCACTAGGGAAACCCTGTGTCGCGGGTGCCATGGACACACACATAGACAACCACAAATTACACCCAAACTCACGAGAGAAATAAATGTAGGCCATACAAACATTTCTCCCGACCCGGGAATCGAACCTGGGACCTCTGCGTGGCAGTCCGGCATGGTAACCGTTCGGCCACGGAGGCAGTTAAATTAAAAAAAAATTAAAAACCACATGCTTAATCGATAACTATATTATAGTTTTATTAAATATATATATATAGATAGGAACATATGCGTGGGCTCGTACCGCGTGCTATGCGCGCCGAAACCTGCTGCATCCACACCCGCCGCGGCGCTTCCAACACCTGCCGTACACATCGGCTCACCTTCGGACTCGTGGCTACTCTGTCGGAAGCTCTGTGTTCAAGAGCATGTGCAAGAGCGTTCCCTGACGTCCAGTTGTCTTATTTTGTGTAACCAAAATCTAATGTTTGAAAACTACGACAAGGCAAATACTTGGATCCTCTCTCAAATATAGATTTTGTGCCGTGGGGCGACGGCTTAAGAATACATTGTCGCCTCCCCATACATGCCCGTGGGGGTCGTAAGAGGCAACCGAGGGTGTCACAAGTGTCCATCTGCTTAGCATTGTGGTAGGCTCTGTGCCGACTGGATAGCGACCACAGTACACACGGCGGAAAACCCTCCACAGTGAAACGCTTTTGCGAATCGCGTTCAGGGATCAGTTGGTGTACATCCAGTGCATTTGGCCAGACCGGCAAAATGATAGTGACGGAGTGAAGATATTTGTGTTTTCCATCCGTTACTCTCATCTCTGGACTGTATTCGCACTTTCCATCAGGCGCGGTGCAGTCATTTTGTCGAGTCGCAATATAAAAAAAAAAAAAAAAAAAAAAAGAAAATTTAATGTGGGCTGTACGTGACCAGGCGCAGACGTTTTGATTAAATCAAGTGTTGCAATTTTAATCGGAATATCTGATATTTGTATGTTTTTCGTTTTAATCAATGCCAGTTTGTACGCGGTGCGCAGTACAAAGTGCAAAAAAATAAAATGTTTTTTCGTAAGTTTTGCAAGAGGAAGTTCTGTGTTGTGAAACCACATTGAAATTAATGAGAGAACGTCTTGAGGATTCCAAGCATTGCTATACTTTGGTGCACTGGGTTTCAATCTAAATGCATCTAAATGCGCCCTTAAGTAATATTTTTATGCGGGTGTCGAGCCTGTTTCAGGCAATAAAAGAGATAAAACTGAGCAATGTCTGATCAAGATTCCATACGAAACTTATAATGTCATTGATAAAGGGATTTAGACTGTTATAATTGCAAAATTCCCACCACAGGTTTAGGGACACATTATAATTATGGTCTACGTGTATTTTAAGAAAGAGAAGCTAAGGGTAAAGTCATCGCCACTTATGGGACTCCGTGGGAGGCGAAGGGTGCGCTGATAACGCCAGAAATGGTAAGGTTGGTGTGCAGTCGATGAGGCCGCCTGCAATAAGATTTAATAATGATTCGCTTGAGTTAAAATATATCACGTGGGAAACCAACAGGCTTTGCAGCAGGAGGTACCATGGCTGGGAAGGCTAATATGGAAAACCAAGAGTAACATTTGTTTGGTCATCAATAATTTTGCAAATGCATTTCCATAATAAAAAGAAGGGTGGGAAAGCGTAGAAAAAAAATGAGGATTCCAATTAAGTGTAAAGGCATCTACGACGAATGCATCTATCATAGTTCTTGAAACCGAGAGATAAAAATAGAGGATTTGGCATTGGTGTGGGATGCAAAAAGAGCAATCTCGAGTTGTCCGAAACGTCTGACAATGGTCTGGAAGGCGCGAAAGGACAACTCCCACTTGGTGTCGGGATTAGTTTTCCTAGATCCTAAATCGGCGCGATTAAATTTTGTATTTACATAATATGCACACATGCATACAAAATTATGTTGCGCTTTTCGCACCACTGCCAAATTTGTTTACTTAAATCGTTAAGGTATTAAGGTAGGTATTGGATCCCACCCAAGCGATTTATGCAACTGATCGTCGTAGTATTGCGTACACACAACAATATAACACAATCAGATTATACTAATATAATATAAGAAATCTGCAATTCTTAGTAAATGATATGGTGCTTCTTCTCAACAACCTTCCCATGTCTTCTCTGATGAGCACAGTACTTTCACCTCAGAGCAGTTTTACCTTGCTCGGTATGGAAATCTGCTGTGATTTGAATCCAAGGAGCTACATCGAATCTGTGATCAAAACAGCCTCACGGAAACTCGGAGTCCTGAACAAGGTGCGACGTTTTTTCACGCCGGACCAGTTATGCCTGTTGTACAAAACACAGGTCCGGTCTTGCGTTGAGTATTGTTCGCACTTGTGGGACGGCTCCGCCAAGTACCTACTCGATGCCTTGGACAAATTACAGCGTCGTGCTACTAGAATTATAGGCGACGAAGAGGTCTCATCACGCCTTGAACCTCTGCAACTGCGTAGAGATGTTGCATCGCTTAGCGCCTTTTACCGCATGTACCATGGTGAGTGCTCTGAGGAGCTGTTCAACCTCATCCCCCCTTCCCCGTTCCTGTTCAGAAGCACGCGTGCTGGCCTTCGTAGTCACCGTTTCACTACCTGCTAAAAGGTTCTACTAAAAGCTGCTACTAAAAGGTACGGTGGCTCCTTTCTCTGCCGCACGGTTGACAAATGGAACTCCCTTCCGGCACATGTCTTCCCTCCCTCTTATGATATGGGGTCCTTCAAACGAGGCGTGAAGAGGCATATTGTAGGCAGGCAGGGTGGAGGTGGCTAGTGCAGTGAGGGTTTCATCGCTGCACTAGGTTCCTTCGCGTTTGGGTACCACTTTACACTTAACATCAGGTGGAGTGGAGTCATTTGCCTGTCATATATAAAAAAAAACCTTCGGAATCCCAACCTGTGCGTGGTGCATATGTATAATTTCTTATTTAAAACTTGAGGTTCTCATATACGATGAAGTCGAGTAAATATTGTCTGTCTACGAACTCAAATCATTTAGAATTATATCTGGAAGATAAATTGTTGTTTCATAGTTATCGTCATGTTTTTGATGACTTAAAAATTCCTGTATTTCCAGTAATTTTGTATATAAACAACCGTATTTAGTGGCTGGGCAGGCTGAGATAAGGACACCAATCAATTGAGCGTAATCCCGTATGGTACATCGGGGTAACCTCATTATTTTTTAAAGTAAATAATAAATTTTTTGACGTTTTTCTAAAGGTAAACTCATACTTAAATTTCATGAATCAAAATTGAATCTTAGAAATTTACAAACTTAACATCGTTGTAACACAGACTTGCCGTAATTAACGATGATGCCTAAACATTGCAATAGGTTAATGGTTGCATTAACATTATTGATGCATCGTCATAATCAGGTGCTATACAACAAATATCATCTAAATATACCACGGACTTAAATCCTTCTTGTCTCAAATGTGTTACAACTTCTTTCACGATTTTGGTAAACACTTTCGATGCTGTGGACAAGCCGCATGCCAGAGCAGTAAATTAATAGGTTTCAATTTTATTCGAACCACAAGGTACATACTGAAATCTGTGGTACTTTCGATCTGCTTCGCATATAGATGTCAGTGAATACACCTCTTTCAGGTCTTTTGGCCATAAAACCCTTTCGAGGTATCAACTTTGAGGCAATTCGATAGTCCTCCATTTTAAAATGAGTTTTTGTTACAAATTTGTTAAAGAACGTTATGTTCTGTAAGAAAAGACTACTACCATTGCGTTTTGGGACTAAAAAAGTACTAGAAATGTATTGATGTTTTCTAGGACAGCACTTTGTCACTGCAAGTCAATAAGTTTCTCATTGTGATATGCCATTTTTTTTATTGTCGTCTGGCGATAAACTAATGCCGGGTATTACAGACTGATGTTGGTACTTGTTTACATAATGGTATTACTGGCGAAGCTGCATATTGGTTTTGAAGGTGGCTGTCACCTAAAACCATTAACAATCTTCTTTAGAATTGTATTAGATAGGTAATTGAGTTTTAACTACAGCGTGTTTCGTTAACACTTATTAATTGCACGTGTGTGGGATTTAAATTGAAATAACTCGCAGTTGATTTCTTATCGCAGTTAAGTCATGGTTAACCCCAACTAAATTTTATTTTAAATATACTTTTCTTAAAATAATATAATTATTAATATCGGCTCGTAGTAGATTTTATTATCGCGGTTAACTCGCCGTTAACCCTGGCGTAAATTTATTTAAAATTAACTTTACTTATTAGCACTTATAGGTACTAATAGTCAATTTTATTATCGTGGTTAACTCGCAGTTAATCTCGACGTAATTTTATTTAAAAAATTTACCTGACTTATTAGCACGTAGTACTCGCTTTCGTTATCGTGGTAAACTCGCGGTTGACCCCAACGAAACTGTATTTGAAAAAAATCTTTACTTATTATTAATATTAGCACGTAGGAACTAATATTGTACATTTGTACAATATAAAATCGACTCTCAGTCGCTTTCGTTGCCGTGGTTAACTCGCGGTTAACCCCGACATAATTTTTTTTTAAATCTTTGCTTATTAGTACGCAGGTATTAATATTGTTTAAATTAAAATCGACTCGCAGTTGATTTCGTTATTTATTTATTTATTTATTTATTTATTTATTTATTTATTTATTTATTTATTTTATTATATATTTATTTATTTATTTATTATCGTGGTTAACTCGCAGTAAACACCGATGAATCTTTATTTAAAAAAAAATCTTTACTTATTATTAATATTAGCACATAGGAACCAACACTGTTCAAATTAAAATCGACTCGCAGTCGATTTCGTTATCGTGGCTAACTCGCAGTTAACCCCGACGCAATTTTATTTAAAAAAATTCTTTACTTATTACCACGTAGGAACTAATATTATTCAAATTAAAATCGACTCTCAGTCGATATTATTATCGTCGCTAACTCGCAGTTAACCCCGACGTAACTTTATATAAAAAATTCTTTGCTTATTAGCATGTAAGAACTAATATTGTTCAAACTGAAATCGACTCGCAGCCGATTTCATTATCATGGTTAACTCGCCGTTAACACCGACGTAGTTCAATTTAAAAAATATACGTTACTTATTAGCACGTAGGTACTAATACTGTTCAAATTAAAATCGACTCGCAGTCCATTTCATTATCGTGTTTAACTTACGGTTAACCGTTTAATTATAAATGATTTATAATAAAACTGCCTAGAGTTTTATAATAAATCATGTAAAATGCACATATTAGTATATCTGTTCGGATTTTCATCCACCCATGTTCGATTTGGTTATCGGGGATAACTCGTAGTTAACCCGATGTTTCATTAAATGTAGGTTAGATTCACATTTGCGATGCATGAAAGCGAACATTTATTATCATTGCGCAACTAGTGCTATATGATAAAAATGACTATTTCCATTTTTTATTTTCATTATTTACGAGCGTAACAAAGAATTACCGTGATCAATGTCCGACTCGTTCGATGATATTATGATCCTGTAACGCCGACGACGTTTGGCATCTGTATTTTCCAAGTATTTCAGTTTACTTTTATAATATTCGATTTTTCTAAGTTTGTTCGCTTTGACATTTTAACAGAGCTGTGGAGGCTTAGATAATATGGGACGGGAGGCGCTATTGATGTTATTTCTCGAACAAAACTTTTTGCCACTTTTTGAGGGGCTAGTAGTAGAGGGGGGTAGTACTACAAGCAAACAGGTGCACTCAAATGCAAAATTGAATTGTGGAACTATGGTCTTACACAACCAAAAAGTTTGTGTGAAACCATAGCGACAAACACTAGCTTATTTTTACAAATACCCAGATAAAACATGTCATGTCATTGCATGTCCATACACAAAATAGGCCTATAAAAATAAATCGATTCTCATGAATATACTAGAGACGGAAAGTTATCGACGTGACGGTATCGATATGTATTACGTACTGGTTAATTATGTATATGAAAAATGTAATTCCACCCTTGACTAGACAGGATGTAGTGAATTTCTTTTTCCAATTTTGAGTGTAGTGTAACAGTGGTATTGTTTTACTTGTATTTGCCAGAGGAGATTGCCCATTGACTTACCAATAAATGGATAACAATAAATACAATCCAAAGTCTAATCCAAAAACCGCGAAAAAATGTTCGAAGTTCTTTTTTCAGTTTATGGCTTTTCGCGGTCAGCGTTGGAGCCAATGACAAGCATGGCCGGAGTTAACCTCTACAAACGTAATAACATGTATAGAAATATTTAAAAAACTAAAACATTTAATTTAAACTGTAAAGTCATTGCAGTATTGCTTAATTTTGTTTGCCACAGTTTAAAGGCCCAAAAATTATCCTTATTCAGCTTCTATTGGAAATAACAAAATGCACCATATTTAGCTTCTAGTGAAAACTACTTGAACACAAGAGTCATGGAATAGTCTTAATGTCAATATTAATTAATTTTATAGTATTATGTTGAATTTTATATGAATTCACTTCAAATAATAAGAGTTGTGCAGGTATATAGGTAGGTACAAACAAATATTGTAAATGTAAAAATAGCTGTGTCTCTCTGTTGGTAGTAATGACGTGCTGTAAGAAATGTATCGATGTTTCGAATTTCTAGAATCCAACTAGACGTAAACTCAAAATTTCATAATCTCGAAAACCGATTTATAACAAAACCGTTATGCGTTCAGGAGATTTTGGTTGTCTATTACAAAGAAAAAATTAAGTTAGTTTGTTTTGTAATATTCCTAAAATAACTTTCAAAAGTACACACGAAATGAAACTATTTTTCCGGATTTAAATCGCGTATATTTGTTTTTTCAAACAAACCAACGTTTCGGGCCCTTTACAGGTCCCATGGTCACGGTTGACTGAGGTGGTACAGTCTTCAACCAGTTATGTCTAATATTAATGCAAACCACCCTACTTTTTCACTATAGTTACAATAGTTATCAATTAAATACCTTATTTTTAATTTTACAAAGAAAACATTCCAATTTACGCTACATTAAGTTTTACAAATTATTTTATTTAATGAATTTTTATTAAGTTTAATTTAGTATCAATTATTAATAGAAATTAGAATAAACTAAAACATATTAATTAGTACTGCAGGCTTATGTCTGTTTGGGATTTTTCATTAGAGGAAATACTGGATCCCAAACTGGTGGTACGGAGAAACCATCTTCCCTGATGAAATTAGGATGTTTTTTAATTTCAATGGCCTCTGAGGGACTATGGGACCGATACGTCTGGGATAAAGGGCCAGAAACGTCTGTTTGTTTGAAAAAAGAAATATACGCGATTTAAATCCGGAAAAATAGGTTTATTTCCTATATGTAACAATCGCGAAAACCTAAGAACTTAAAAAAGTACATTTGGGATTACAAAAATTCGAGCAAACATTACTTCGGGCAAATGTTTCGGACTTCTGATTGATAACTCCAAACAGTAAAACGAATACAACAACACTTTGTTAGTTATTTATTACTAACATTTAATAAAAAGTATTTTAAAAATAAGATTAACAGTAAATCAACTCTGTAGTTTCTTAGTTCTAAATCTAAATATTTCAATCGCTTGTGGTTCGAAAATCGAAATTGACGTAACGGGTCTCTTTCGGGTAGGATAAGGACAGTTAGCTATTTGGTTATTAATATTGCTTTTGTAATTTATGTGTATTGTATGTACTAGTATATGTACTTTTTTTTCTTACAGTATGGCATGATTTATGATGGTTTATATTAAACAATTACAATTTATTTTCATTATTTATTACATTATTATTTAATATACAATACGGCGGAGAAATCAATTTGAATAAACTTCGCTTATGTAAATAAGCTGTCGATAAAAATAGGAGCTAAAAGAGCGCGTCGCTCTATAACGAAAAAACAGCGTCCATGGAGTACTGCATTTTTTGTCTATAGTCGCCTGTTAGTAAATAGGGAACTTCATAGGCATGCTTATGTCAAATGTTCGAATGTTTTCAAATATTTTTTATGTAATCGATAAATTGAATCAATATGATCATTATGGAAAAAATGTCATAAAATAGAAAATTCGCAATTAATGTAAAAAATAGGCTTATGTATGGAATGTAATTTCACCCTTGGCTAGACTGGATGTAGCAGAGATTTTTTGCAAGTTTGTATAACGCAAGACGACATGTTTCGTGGAGTACTTGACTCGATGAATTCGATAATGGAAATGAAAAAACATCGATTTGAAAGTAGTGTCTATTGTGCGATAGTTGTTTTGTGCTTGTACCTTGACAGAAGGGATTGCCTATCGATGACGCCTCCAGTCCTATATGCTCTAAGTGTGGAGGTGTGCTTGTTGCCACGCACGAAAAAGGAATAAGGATAGAAAATGGCGGTTGATGCCTGGTAAGGAGTGTCAACGTCAAAATATTTTTTTTTCTCTAAAAACCGTGTAGGGTTGCCTAGCAAGTTAAGGAAACTACCTGGTTAAATATTATATCTAGAATGAAGCGTCGAAATATAATTGAATATCATGGTGGTGAAGCATCCTGACATTCAATAAAACTTAATTACAAACTGAAGTTTACTTTCGTATTAAAACAGTTCACAGTCACATGAATTATAATTCAGGAAATATGCAAATTTACTGAAACTAATTATTATATTAATGACAGTTAAAAAAGCAAATGTTGCCAAATAACGGAATAATCAATATATATTAATAATTATAGGAAATGAAACTATGTTTTGGAATCTAAATCGTGTACATCAGTAACAATCGCGAAAACCTAAGAACTCGATAAGTAAATAATATATTGTGCTCCTGTCTGAGTTTTTGTGTAGCAAGTGTGTTTAAATTTGACATGTAGGTAACGAGATGTACTTTAAAGCTACATAAAATAAAGCTTCCTTGCACAGCATGAATGTTTGATAAATATGCGATAAATATTACATATGGTAGGAATCATAAAATACAATATACCTTTCTGGGATGGTAACTCTGCCCATCTATTAATTTGCCCGCCCAAACCTCAAACGCTAAAAACAAAGTAATAAAAACTTATTCTCATAAATTATAGATATAGCTTAAGTAGATACGAGCGTTGGTTATGTGGGTACCCGGTTGTCTCTGTTCGTTAAAAAAAAGTTATTTTTTATTTACGACTTAGGCTTGGTTTTGGAAACAGGAAATAAATTAGGTTCTTAAATTTTTCATGAAATGATCAAAAGCCATTCGAGTGAACACCGCGTTTTTATCGGAATTAGTGGTGTGGAAGGAAGTGGCACAAAGTGATGTATACCGTGTGCAATATTTTGGCACGTGGAAGTGAATGTTTTCATATAAAAGACACATCATACATTTGTCGCCGCTTTTCGATGGTTAAAAGGTTATTGGATCGACA